GGTATACACCTGTCGCGTATCTACACATTCATCTACAAGTACTCAATAAACTGTTCTGAACCGAAGACCACTGCGAGTTCAATTGCTTTGCTTACCTATCCTCAACATCATCATTGTTAAATTCCATTTCACGACACTCAAACATGGAAAAAAGAAACTTTTGTCTTGATTTTTGGTGGTAGTAACGATAACAACCGTATAACAAATAACTTTGACAAACTACCTCCCAAAAACCGTCAAGCTGGTATCAAGGCCTCCTATTTTATGTTGAAAATAATTGTATCTCGGCTCTTAATGAATCGTCTAATTTGCTTTATAGTATATAGTATAGTAATATTATTATAGGTGATACATGCATTATACGTAATTTGTTTTAAATAAAAGACGGTTTATTATTATTATTTCGTTGATTAGGCTGTTACTTTTTCCTAAAACCTATCTACCCTACGTCCTGCGCAAGTAGGAATGTTTTGCTGTGTACGTATTCGCGTCAATACACTCTGAAAAACCCCCGTAAGTGAATGCTGAAAGCCGAATCCATAATAATGGAAATAACGTCAAAAACAAAAGCCGGTGGTCGTTTAGATAAGTACAGATAGAGCCAACAGCAGCAGAGGCATGCTTTGGCGCCAAATTTATTCCCGCGGACGGTCAAAGCCGCTAATGACATATCCCCCCCTTTCCTCGGTTCCCTTTTTTGTATTAAATATCTTTTTTATCTTCAGGGTGGAATTATGAATGGCAGCCAGCGAGAACAAAGGACGAATTCAACGCCGTTAAACGTGGAATGAAACGAGCAGAAAAAGTACGTTCTCGTAAATGGGAATTAATGTTACGCTTTGGAGTCGTTTGATCTGTAACAGACCAGCTTTGTTGTTCCTAGATCTGGTTTGTTTTATCCTGGGCAAGGGTAACAGATTCGGTGTACTGAAAAAATGTAACTTTATAATAAAAGTATCGTCACGTGAACATTCAAAACCAGAAAGTCAGACATGTCGTTCATGGAAGTTCAAGGGATGATTTCTTCTTGGATTTTGAACAAACGGTAATGCCTTCTTTGAAGGAAAACAGTTAATTATAAGAGGCCTTTACGAGGGATGTCCTTTAAGTTTCGCATATAGACACAGTACGTCAGTACTGAATCTTAACCTCACTCTTTAGTAAACTTAAATTCAAAGTTTCACAACAACCGAGAACATTTTCGCTCCATCATTTATTACAACCTTCAGAGACAATTATCTCAACAAGAATACCTTGCTGAGTTAGTGTCTGTTTTCGAAAACAAAGCGCCACATCAGTCGACCATTTCCCGTTGGTATGGAGAATCCAAACGTGAACGCCGTTTTGGATCTGCCAGCAAACGAGTAGAATAAGTGCTTCGAAAATTGGTTCGAGCGCATGCAGGTGTGTATTAATCTTCGTGGAGAATACTTAGAAAAACAATAAAGTCATTTAAAACTAGCTACCGTGTTGTTTTATTTCGATATGCAAAACTTAAAAGACATCCCTCGTATTAACCTGATAGGCATTCAGCTTAATAGCTACTCTCCAATTCCATCCAAGGCAGAAAAAATACCCGAAATACAATCTCAATATTATTCAACCCGATACGGATGTGGTTTGAATTAGGGCAGAGTTACACACTTTGACCTGTCAGGGCTAGCAGTGTTGCTGCTTTCCTTATCCGAATATCCGCAGAGGTCAGAGGGAGAGAACAACTACAGTATCTCAAGTGGGGCTATATTTCGGTTGAGATGGTTACAACTTGTAAACGCAATTCAAAAGCCAACTTATGCCTGCATCGTTAGTTCTGATAGCTGACTTGTAGCAAATCAATTATATCTTAATCCTTTATCAAACCGAATAGTGACAAATTTCAAGGTAGAAAAACGGACATATCTTCTTCCCGCCTATCGTAATCTGAGCCCACAATCATATGATGAATTGTAGACGCTGATCGGAATGATAGATTTCCATAGACGACAACCAGGGACAGCTGCAGAATTAGCGGAACAAGGTTCTGGGACCATCCACCTGGATTCAAAGGCTTCACACTTGGCGTTACTTCTAGAAGCGAGATTCCAGGGACATCGAACAAGTGGACCAATATGAGTACGGTGGGAGATGCGTTTCCACGTCCCACTGACACAAAAACTCATCTGTATCAGCACTACTCCTGGATCTTATATTTGACGCGAGGGCAGTGACATTTCTCTCTTTACACAAATGTCAAAGCTCTCCCGCAACCTGGTCCAGGCGTGAAAACTGGGAGCTCCTCATTCTGTTGATGTACGATATGGTTGTCGCATGATCAGTAGGGTATAACTGAGACTTTGTAGGCTAAGAGCAGGAGAGGAGGAAGTTGTTCTATTTACTTCGACGAGGCCGGAAACATAATATACAAGGTTAAACGATATGTTGAAACCATTGAAAACGAACGAATTTTAATTTTGTAGGATTATATCGGCGGACTTATTACAGTAGCTGGCATGTTATTATTGTTGAGGATAGGTAAGCAAAGCAATTCAACTCGCAGTGGTCTTCGGTTCAGAACAGTTTATTGAGTACTTGTACATGAATGTGTAGATACGCGACAGGTGTATACCGGGCTTCGGCGTTCCGCGATCCGCGCGCGTGCGTGGGCTGCTGTTGTTCTTCATCTGCTTCCTACGAGTGACTCTTTACGACTGACTGCATTAGTGATGTAAGAATACGGATTAAAATAACGGTACAATCCGAATATTCATTTATTCCGTAATATGCCGAATATCAATTTATTACGTATTATTTTTAATACGGAATGTGTGTGATTTGCGTTCTTCGTTTTTTGCAATGAAATTAACAAGGCAACAACAACAACAACATACAACGGAAAGTTAGATTAGAAGTCCGGAAGAAACTTCCATGGAAGAATAATAATACGTATGATTTTTAATAGGAGTTCTCATTTTCATCCGTATAAGTATGCAACATGCAGTGCACACCGCACGCAGACGTTAATCGCCAGTGGTGGCGCAGATTTTAGGTATTTAGGTCAGGTCGCCTAGTTACAGTTAATGTTTTCTTATTTTCTGCAATTAATATTAAATGAAAAAACTATATCTTCAATTTTTAAAAGCGGAATGAAACAAAGAAAAATAAACAATAAGTTTTATTAATAATATTAAATTAGGTACCTTATCACAGATATGAAAAATTCAAATAGGTCACGTCACTGGTGGCGTTGATCACAGCTCGAACCTCGAACACGAACGCGAGACGCAACAGACAACCAACAAAACAAACCACTTTCTCACGTCAGAATAAAACTAATAACTAATCATAACCAATCGTCCCTTGTTCCGTATTATTTCAATCATCCGTATTCCGTGTTGTCAGGTCGCATAAAACCGCATGTATTTGCCGGATTGGCTCCACCTGAGGCACCTGATATTATGGATGATACGTAATATTATTACGGATGATTCATCCGAATATTCTATTCATCCGTTTCCGTGTAACCGGTTATCAAAATATTCCGAATATTTACATCACTAGACTGCATTCCTGCCTGGTGCGGCGCGCGTGGACCGACGGCTGTTACAAGCTTCAAGGTTAGGCGACGTGTCTGGTCGTTTCGCCAGTAGCGGCGCGGCAGGGTGACGCTAGTACGCGTTCCAACAATTATATTATGAAGGAGAAAGTTTTCTTCAAAAATATTGTCTTGTATGACGGCATATTTAGTATATGTTCTACATATCGCAAATTCAAGTCATGATACTGACCTCTAAAAGACAATTTGCGGTCATCACCACAGGTTTTCGAAATTTGGAGCGTTTAAAAGTTTTTTACATTTCCAAAATTTTCAAGACTACAAAGGTGTGTTATTCTCAAGATATCTCAGCGATAGAGAGCAATTTCAGTTTTATTCAATCTGATAACCGTTATTTTATATAGATTAAGTTATATGTTACGCTTATGGCTTATAAATAAACAATAAGAAAATTCTGTTTTTGAAATCACTCAAAAAAGAAGCGTCAGGTTGGTTGACTGCACTTTCCACTCAACTTTGTCATCATAAAGAATTCGGCATAAGTTATTTCCTCTTAAAAAACGGTTGGGAACGAAAAAAATTGTATTTTGAATTAAATCAAAGTTTATTTTTATATTTATTCAAGGATTTCAACATTGACCTTGAAATTTTACACTGCCTCAAAGAGGTACTGCTGGTTATGAAAAATGATTCATGAGTAAATTTTCAAGGTTGAATCCAAAGTTGCCATAGGAATGCTTGATAATGTTAAGATTTTTTTCTAAGAATTTGCCTGCACATACACATTTGACCCTCATTTGGCCTTTAAAGGTGAACTTGATCTTAGATTCTTGTAGCAATAGTAGTAATAATTTATTTTTTGTTAACGCTGCTCACACACGTTAGAAAGATGGTATGGTTAAAAGAAAAATAGATAAGTTGATAAAAATAAAAATACCTCAAAACAATACAATACATGAAATAACATAAAACAGATGAGTGAGAAATAAAACAGTACAGGTGTGTAAAATGGCGTAACTATATAAATATGAAAGAGTGCAAAATAAGATAGAAGAATGATAAAATAAAATGTGTTCGCATATTGCAAAACACAAACCAGAACGATGTAGATTAGTCAAATTGTATGAGAAGATCACATCAGTAAAAACAAAACGATACAGATTTGTAAGAATATCACAGAGATCATCATTTATTAATATCTCCAATGGCCAAAAAGCTTCTTTATGGAGGAACGTTTCAACTTTTTTTTATGATAAATGTTAACATTCAATGATCTTGTGGAAACTGTATAGCCAAAGGTGCGAAACACACATATTATTTTTGTTTTGAATGTCATGAAGTTGTACTTGACTATAAGTGATGTAGACAGTAACGCTATTTTTGATGTATAACATACAACGGCAAACACTCTGCATGTAGGAGAAGTGTCACCATATTAAAACCTCATGAATCATCTTCGAGTCAAAGTATGGATGGTAACTTGCCATTAAGATTTGATGAAATACCTGAGGTAAATTATATTGGTTAGAATATTTGCAACATAATCAGCATGACCCCAGGACAGGATATTCTTAATAAGAATACTCGTAATGCTGATACTGCTTTTACTAACACTGTCTAGCAACTTCTCTATGTTCTGTATGTTATTCTTTCAATTTCTCTTTTCATCCCTTCGTTTTTACAAAGCAACAAAGAGACGTTGACCATCCTTCATTTTCCCGGCAAGGCGTAAACAGAGACATCCTCCTGGAAAATTTTCAAAAGTCACTAAAAATCCTTATATTTGATAACCAAATACAATATGTGACCATGTGCCGATTTTCGAAGGATTTGTGTCTAGTTTGACCTGGCTATTAAACAACGGTTAAAAATGCTGCACGGCCAATCGCATAACGAGCTTAACGCCGTTATTCAATTCTATGGCTATAAATAACCTCCCAGCAGCCGAGTAACTTAGTTTACTCATAATTTCGTTTACAGACATTTTAAGGTCTCGTCCAGCATTCGTACCCGGCTTATTTGTCGCTGCGAAAGATCGTTGGAAATGGTTAGTTCGAGGCCCACGATCTTTGCGAGTAGTCTAATAATAAGGATAATATCTTAAGGGTAGATGTCATCAGGAATGTCAAATCAACAGTCCTTTATTCTCCACCTATAGGGTAACAGTCCGTCAAATATAGCGAATGAGCTTCAAGTTCCAATCAACAAATATTAGCAACCAATAGCTATGAAATGTTGAAAACAAAATACTGTCAAAGTATGAGATGACAGCTTGTCATTGAAACATCACCAGCTTGTTAAATATTAAGAAATTACATATAATTCACTTAAAAAAGTCTTCGATCTTTGAATAAAATTCATGTTTTTATTTAATATTGTCGACTGTTTATTCATGTTTATATTGTTTTCTTCAATCGATAGCGATTTGACTGATTCAACATCACCTACCGTGTGTTCTTTTCCTAAAAACTCCTTGCAGATAGCCACAAGCACCTACTTGATGACAGACTCTACCAAAAATTTCATAGATATTATTTACAGCGATTAAGAAATACTCAAATGTATGTCGTAAAGCTACCGGCAAACTTAAAACCTGCAAAAATGCAACAGAATTTTCAATTACTTTCTTGATTCATTGAGTACACATTCTAAACTGAATCCAAATTCAAGATGAGATGTAAATAATAACAGTTAGCGCGTGATCTCTCGGTAACAGTTGGGGACAACGCCTCTTATTGGTCAAGTCGCCATTAAATTTCAAGCGGTCGCCTAGCGGAATAATGCGCGGGGAAGGGGCAGGGCAGGCAGAGTTGCACTCAGGCCACCGTCCGTCGCGTGTATCACTGCGTGCTCGTATTTTCGTATTCACCTTGCTTGGTTGTTGCTGTTGTTGTTGTTAAGTGTATTTGAGTAATTTGTTAAGTTTCCGTTAAATACTGTCATTTTTGTTTTACAACACGTTGGTGGTAGTCCATCATTCGGAGGTAGCCCTGAATGCGGCCCTGTACGCGGTCCTTGCTTTTTGGAATCACGCATCCATTCTATCTTGGGTGTAAATATACTATAGGTTATATTTATTACACATTATTTAAATGACAGCTGATTATTACATTTCACAACTCCCCACCGAGTGACACTTCTGTGGGATCCGTCAACCCTTGGTCCCAGTGGAGTAAGCTCCGCCAACTGTTGAAATATACTCTACTACGCTATATAAGATAGATTTTTTCCAAAATCGTTGCACAACACTTGAAAAAATGCAAATGAAAATTTAAAATTATTCCCATAACGCCCCAAAATAGCTGCGTCGGTACCTCAGGTGATACATCTTGACAGTGGGGATGTTCGATACGATCCTATATTTAGAAGTATCGATACTTTTGCTTCCCATACCAGATATTTTTATATATCACTTGGGTGTATCGATACATTCCACGAGTATCGTTATCTTTCGATCCGGACTGTGTCAGAAAGAGTAACTAACTTCAGATTAATTTTCTTCTGTGTTTCCTTCCAGTGGATATCGATAATTTTATTCCAATATTTTAGAATATCGATACTTCCTAAAACGATGAGAATCGATACGTAACGATACTTTTCGTGGATCTGAACATCCCTAATCTTGACAGCTTGTCGTTCTTGTCAACAGGACTGTAGGGTGCTAAAATCTTATGACAAATAAAACCTCCAAAGGAAATATTGACGAATATGAACGGATATGCATAGAACTTAGAATATAAATTCATATTGCAAATTTCAGATTGTCTATGCATGAACTTTAACCGGATTTTTCGGTATTTTTACCGAAAAGAGAATATTTACCGATGACATCATTCTCCGCAATTTTTCAAAATAATAAATATTGCAATCATACTATATGCGTCCATTACACATTCTCGTAACTGCTGCTGGGTATGCTGATTAACTTGGTTTTTAACAAAACCTCAAACAGAAAAGTCCAAAGGAATTAAATCTGAGCACGCGCTTGTCAGGACACGTCACTTGAGGTTCCACTCCACCTTCTGGAAAATCGCTGAGAAAGATACACTCGAACTTACCTAGAGTTATGTGCAGGTCTTATTGAAACATACAGCTGTTAACCTGTGCCAAAGGTTTTCCAGGCAGTCTTCTAGATCATGCTGCAACAATTGAAGGTTCCGTTCTGCAGTTAATGAGTTGTTGTAAATGAACTGGTCCCTAGTGTTCCACGGCACATATTGAACCCAAAGCATTCTTGATGTCTGGATGTTTTTTAGCCCGCATTTGAGTTTTGTTAGCACCAGGCTGTGTGCTCTGAGTGCAAGTTTTGATATGCTCCAATGCAACACTGCATTTTACTTTTTTTTTTTGGATCGCATCTGCATGTGTTTAGACATTGTCATATACTACTATTACTATTCGTCATTATTCGTCAGAGCGGTCCGGTGGGCCTTTGCTCTTAGTTAAAAGTCTCGTCGGTCTGTTAGTCTGTCAGGTCTGGCCACCCAGACACCAAACATGTTTAAGGGGAAAAGGGAAAGAAGGAAATAAGAAATAGAGCAAAGAAAAGAAGTAAATCATTTGAAATAGCTTAAGCATTATTGCTTTGACTACCCGAATTATTTTGTAACTCCAAAAAATAATTTTGATCGGTTTTGTATTCTGAAATAATTTTGGCTGATCTGGACCGGTGTCTTCGTTGCGAACACAATACAGGTGCTTGCCAGAACGAGGCTGGCGTCTGGAGCGTGAAGGTATTTACAGCTTTTGTTGGCTAAGTGGCGAAGAGGTTGAGTATTGCGGCGCTCCTCAGACGATGTACATTTCGTTATGGGAACAGACAGGCGACTGGCGGACTGGAATGTCAAAAACCTACCGGTCAAAACAAATTGGAAAGCAAAGGCAACCAAAGGCTTTGTCTGTTGTTACTTTATATAACTTAGGCTGGTCTACGTTTACGACCTTGGTATTAACTAACAGTTATCCATCGAAAAGGGTTTTTGAATATCATGTGGAGGAAGGATGTGTTTAAACATTAATACCTGACGTTTGTTGGTGTTTATTTAAAAATGCACACATCCATATCAATTTATCGTTAAACACAATAAATTGTTTATTGTTGAAGATAGAGAAACAAAATTTGGGCGTTGCGTATTATAGACGAACTTACATTTTTTGAAATGTCTTTTTGCTTTGACGTACCTCCAGTTTGACCGGAAACCACTCCTACATTAATTTATAAATGGTTCACCCTATATATTTGTACTTATTTCGATCGAGAACGAAATTCCTAACTCGGAAACGCATCACTTGTCAATATTTGACAAATTAGCTCATTTTATTTTTATTTTTCGATCTAGAATGTCATGGATGGTAAATCTCTTCATTTTTGATCAAGTACATAACAAGAGGAAAAATACGATATTGAAGCCAGCGACCTTATGGTCTTTTTGAAGATTTTCGTACGTCTATGGAGTAAGTCCTTTCTAGTAATCCGTGACAAACAGTTGAAGGTGTTGCTAGGGTTACTTCAACAAATACCTAAACTAGGTTATTAAAAATCTGTCTGTTTCTCATTTTGCATCCTTGGGATCAAAATTGAAGGTTCTAATGTGAAAAAATCAATTTGACCTTGAATTAACCTTCAAGGTCATTGCCAAGGTCAAAATGAAGGTCGCCATCAGATGTGCCGTTGAGTGTCCCGCAATTTTCGCAATAAACTTCTTCTTTAAAATTCCCCTTTTTCCAGCTATCCGCTGCTTCACAGCATTCCATGAAAGAGAAACAGTTGACCTTGAAATAGCATCTAGGTATGATTTTTGCTCCCAACATACCTATATCGTTGCAAAGGGAATCTTTGGCTTCCTATTTCTGCAATAAAAAATAGGGGTTCACTTTGAAAAAATTAACTTGCCCTTGAAATAACCTTCAAGGTTAATGTCAACGTTGAATCTGAGTTCATCACTATTTGATTTCTTGAAGCTTTTCTTTGCAAACTTTCTTTCTGGTCCCTTAGTTTCTGAGACATTTGGATGTGTCCATACTTTTGAGACACCCTGTATAATAGAGGGTATTGTTTCTACCTGCATAGCATAATTGACAGAATCATGAGCGGCTTTTCGTAATCACAAATGCCGCATACGTTAACGTTAACATTTGCATTTTTTTGGATTTAGATCAATGGCTTATTAGAGGCAAATGTCAGGTTAACATTAAGCTTTATGTATGTTATGCGGTACTTGTGACAACAAAAAAATTGTTAAAATGGCGTCGATTAGTCTGACTCTGCACATTTTACAAAAAGCTATTATCAGCCCATTGAAGATCAAGTTAGTCAAACAGGCTCATACAATCGACACGCAAGTGTCGGAAATGTTACTCCATCATCGGAGATTTTAAGCTAAATTACAGGTTGTCATTTTCCGGTGGCAGCCACATTTGATTTTAAATGACGTTATTTTGTATAATGTGCTTCTTTCATCAACTCCTTTTGTTTGATAGTCATGTCGAAGTTATTCTGGAACACCCCGT